CAAAAGATTCACCAAAGATATGAAAATCAAGTTTCGCATATTCAGGAAAACGATTAAAGAAGCTTTGCAAGAATAGGTATAATTTTGAAGCAGCCTGTTCTGTTGAACTGACTTTTGAGGCGTCGAAAGAGAATCCAGTACCGAATGGCTAATGCATGTTTAGGTAATAAGATAACTGAACTAAGGATCTTTAATTTAAGAAAATGGGCAAAAAATAAAATTTTTCATACTTCATCAATAAACAATAAATTAGAGACTTGATTCCAGCTATGCGGATTTAGTGTCATTGATTGACCTTTATTAATCGGTTGACATGGGCCTAATTCTTGGAAAAGACCGATCATTGACGAACAGCCTGGTCCTCCATTGAGCCACACTGTTAGTGGAGCTGAACCCGGGTCTTTGCGTGACTCAAAAAACCAAAAGAAATAACTTTCGTTGGGTGATAAATCGAGATATCCTGAATACTAGACAACGAATCATCAAGTTAGCTTGTTTCTTTGTTAGATTCAAGAATGAATGCAAATACCTGTTTTACGTTTGGATCACAGAGGTTACTTGATACGATGCCAGCATTTTTATTGCTATCTTTTTTCATCATAGACCTTTTTGGGCCTAATCTTGGCCAAGTTCGTCTGGCATCCGTCGACACTAATAACAACGTACATATTATTACGCAAAATGATAAGAATCTTGAGTGTTTTAGGCTCATATTAAATAGAGGGTTCATATTCTCAAATTTTAAAAAATTTCTGGTCAAATTGCTGAAGCAGCAGCTTTATTTATCTATTGTTTTTGGGCAACCTCCATGGCGAAAATAAGAATGACCACACATAATAAACGTTAATTAAATTTTTTTGTTCTTCGCGTATGGAAAGCATATTCTCTCTGGCCGAACTTAAGATTCACGCGAATTATACTTTATTACACATTTCTTGCTTTGGAACGGCAATTACAGTGTAGATTTTTAATTTTACACATTTTATGAACTATTTTGGAAAATTAATTAACAACTGCATGCATAAAATATTATCGTCACGATTGTGGCTTAATCAACAAAAGCGAAATACATGTATTAATTGCATTCATTGTCCATTAAAAGTTCTCGTCATACGTGTACATGTCTTTAGATTTGATCGGTGAAACGGATAATAGTTTTGTTGTTGTACCGATAGACATAATTAAAATTTTTATTCCTCGAAAAAAAATTAAGTTTCTTATGAAACGAGATATATAGTCTCGGATTTTTTTTATTTAGTTTGTTTGTTCTTGAGAAGCATTCAAACCGAAAATAGTTCGTAATTGAAGCACATTTGCTAAGCATATTACGAAATATACGTGCGAAATTTGTTTAATGATCTATTTATATATTTTGTTAAGAATTAAAAATCAGAAACATCCAACTGTTTTGAATAATGAATGTTTTAATGTCTTGTATGTTTAAGAATATGAGTTGCATGTATTAATTGACATCTAAGACCAACTTAAACTTTAGTTGCACATTATATCAATGTTGAATTTATCCATGCGTGTAAGTACTTTCTGAAAAGAATTTCGGACCCAATCTGGGTTTGACATGGACATTTTTTGAAGGGCTTGGCATGGACGTTTCTTGAACACGCTGGAGATAAGTCTACTGCCTGCACCTAAATTAAGTGAACAATATGTGAATTGGGCGGCGAAACTTTCTCGCAGGTAAATATTCACCACGGCATTCTGCAAATATACCAAAAAAAAAGTACGTACATGTATAGAAATTTGTATTTATTGTTTGCAAGAACCAATGAAAATGTATCATAAAAACATTTTGTTAAACAGAACTTCCTTATGTACGTAGTCTCAAAGTAATTATTTTGTGAAAGTGATAAAGTTCAGAAGAATAAACTGATATTGTTTTATCGTTTTTGCATTCTGATAAGTGAGTGCTGTATGGATATTCAGATTACAATCTCAATTGTTATAATGTGCCATATTAAGTTATATTGTTGTAATGGTTGTAATTTTTTGTATCGATATCGATTACATGCATTCCATAGATTATATTTTGAATTCAACGTGATAAATTTTTTCTACATGCAAAACCCGAATTTTTGTAAATCTTATAAAAAAATTGACGTCTAATAGATTCAATGTACTCGACTGAAGTTTATTAAACACAAATAAATAAATTTTTACATACACGTATTTTATGTATGAGATATTCCTTTCTTTATGAATAACTTAAAGTTTATTTCTGAATGTTATTAAAATGCTAATTTAATACTTGTACATGTAATATGTTTGGTTTTTCCTTTCGTAATCATTTAGGCCGATATGTATGTATTTTATTTCAACACACATGTGCGTACCCACTGACTGTACTGCAGAAATTCTAATACATGCATGTACTGTACATGTATTCCCATTAAATTATTATTATAACATTTAACTCGTAAAACATTAAACTCGTAAAACATACATCCAGTGTTGTCATCTTTAACCTCAGTGAATTTCTTTAATAAATAAAGCAAAAATAAAGTAGTTATGAAGTTATACAAAACATAAATTGTTCATTGGCTCTAATATCCCATGAATCATTTTTTTTACCAAAGTTCGATTTCCTAAATCAGAATCACTCTATAGCAACTCTATCATCAAGTTCCTTAGTATTGATCCTGGGAAATGAATTTAACTTTTCATCAACAAATTAATATTATAACTTTATGATTACGAGAACGATAATTTTGAAAAGCGCATGTAATTGAAATTTAACAAAGTGATATCGATATTCAATCGAATTCTGAATATGGCCATTAAGTAACCTTTCATTTATTGAATAAAACACAACATACAAGTAAATCTGCTCAAAGCGATCAAAAGAAAATTAATCAAGCATACGAAAAGCCCGACTGAAATTATACCTCAATTGAAGAATAAAAAAGTATACGTAACAATTATTATTCTTTGTTCGTGACGTGATATATCTGTATATCGATATCAGATTATCGTTTATTAATAATAACGTTAATATCAAAAAATTATACGTGTCATGTACATGTAAATGTCGATTTCGCTAAGATGGTTTTATTCCCAAAAACATTTTATTATCAAGATATTATATGTGCGTGGTTTATTCAAATATCCTAACTGTTTAATTAAATATTAAAATACAAAGAATGTTTGAATCAAACCGAATATTAAATTATTATACAATATTAATTGATAATGTACAAAGTTCGGATTTGCACAAAAAAATTTTATTTAAAATCGCCATTCTAGGTCATGAACATAATTAGAAATCATTATTCCAAAAATTAAACTCTTTGCGCATTTTCGTATAATTCCCATTTTAGTTCCCGAAACTTGCAATGTGCGAGTTCAATTAATAATTATTTATAAATAGGCAAAAAGTTCACCAAATTGCATTAGTAACACAATTTTTTAAAAAATTTATTTACTTTTACGCTCTAGTTCTCAAGTATTTGAATTTGTGAAAAGTTCTCATTATACAAATTAATTAATTGCTTGTTTTATTTTTTTAATATAATAATCTATGATATTGCTGTATATTCTATATGTACTGTTGCCTTCTGAAAGTTTCGGAATAGATTTCTTAGTTTTCTGAGAAATTCTACATAATGATTTCTTTAAAAATACCAAGCTACAACCACATGAAATCAGTATACAAGTACATAAAAAGCTTTTATTGTTTTGTAATGAGAAAAAATGAAAAACTTAAGGAATTCAACGTGTAGCAATGGTCAGGTTATAAAAAAGTGGAGAATCTCTTTTTATCTATTGACCTTGCATGAAGAATGGCAGCCAACGTGTATATTACTTAACGGAGAAAGTATGCCGAATTAAATACAATAAATAATTTAGAAGTTTAAATGAAGGTTCCGGAAACTTTTGAAAATGACTGTATATAGATTAGCCTAGAAATTTATTTAACTTTCATTTCATACCACAATGAACGTTTGCAAATTTATTCTTCCAATCGTTATGAAATAGTCATGTAATTAAGAGAAGGAGAAACGTTAAATAATTCAAATCCAATCAAAATCTACAATGCTAACGCTAATAATAAACACATACGATCGCTAGAAAAAAATGACGAATTTCTGTTATGTATACCGAATTTGAATACTCTTTCAGCAAATACTTATCGTTATTATTACACATTTCTATTCGGAGATTCACTATCAAAATTAATGATTTTACCATATACATGTACATGGAGCTAAATGGAAAATACAAATACATGTAACTGATAACGACAAATACTTATCGTTACTTGATCTGATATTATCGTTAGTTTGTAAACATCGCTAACGCTACTGATTCCTTAATGTCAAAATAATGCATGCATCTCTTTATCAATAATTCATGCCCCCATAAAGAAAGCTGCCGGTGACGGTAAGACGAGAAAGTATCGATATGATGGCGTACTTTAAGAACTTCTTGATTAAGCAGTTCTTTGTTTACCATTACTATCGTTATGATCTCTTATCGTTATTGGCTATCTTCAGCCTTCATGGTGCAACAATGGACAAACTGTGAAACAAAAAAGGAGTTTTGTCGTATTTAAAGCGTCTTTTTAAAGACGTGCGTCTTACTGCTAACGTTAAAGTTTGTCTATTCCTAATCAATAAGGTAATTTCTGTTTCATGTTGCAAATATTAATTACATAACTATAATTGTAACAACAATAATAATAATAATAATAATAATAATGATAATGATATCGATAATAATTGTATACTTGATATGATAGAATAACGATAAATTTTCATGATGGTCAAACTTCTTCAGCTTGTCCCATTGTTTCTTTCTGCCATTCCTGTTACGATTTTAGCGCGTCCTTATGAAAAAGTTTTTCATATTGCCACGTTAAATAATCATCATAAAAATAAAGATGGTGTATCAACTATATTTGATGAAATGAACACGGACGCTAGAATAACGGGGGTAGATGAAGATGAATTACGTTTAATTCAATTGGATGAAGATGAACCACCTAAATGGATGACTGTTGGTGAGCGTATGGATTTATATAGGAAAAAAACCAAGTTCATGGATATCACGGATTATCCGGACTTGGGTGATTCTTATAAAGCTGCTGAAAGAACTAGACGACGTAAGAATTCTTAAATTTATTGAAATGACTGATCGTATCATTGCACGCATGATTAACGCGTGATTTTTTAAAATTACAATCATGAAACAAAGAATTCCCTATCCAACCGCAATTCCAACAAGAAGTTGAATCCTTCATTAATCAATTGACTACAAAACATATGGAAGCGAATTTGAGAAAATTCACCTCATTTCGCACCCGTTATTATCGTTCAAACACTGGCAAAGAATCATCCAACTGGCTTTATAAGCAAATACTCAGAATAGTTGAAGATGCAGAAGATGATGTTGACGTTTCCGTGAGAAAATTCAAGCACCCTTGGACGCAAAGCTCGATAATTGCTCGTTTTGAAGGTTCCGATCCGCAGAAAGAAAATGAAGTTGTCATTGTATCTGCACATCAAGATTCAGTAAACATGTGGATTCCATCATTTGGACGTTCTCCCGGAGGTAATTATTCAATAATGATTGATTCTATTCCTTAGCTGAAAATAAAAAAAAACAAATCTTTTATGTAGCTGATGACGATGGTAGCGGTACTGTCACTATCTTGGAAGCATTCAGAGTTTTGGTTGAAAACGGTTTTAAACCCGTACGACCGGTTGAGTTCCATTGGTACTCGGCTGAAGAAGCTGGTTTACTCGGATCACAAGCCATCGCTCAAGATTATGCAAAAGAAAAAAAAGATGTTGTTGCCATGTTACAGGTAAATAATTTTCAATTTTGTTTATCGGATTATCAATCATTATTTTGACTCGTTTCCAACAAATCATTTGTGTAGAATGACATGACTGGCTATGTTGGCAATAAACCTGAAACTTTCGGCGTCATTGTGGATTATGTTGACTCTGACTTGACTATCTTTGTAAAGTCTCTTATCGAGGAGTACGCCGCAATCCCATACGTTGATACCAAATGCGGGTGAGTGCACTTTACATTAGCATGAATGCTATCAGATTTCTATTAAACTTGCTTGTTTCCACTTATTTTCATGTAGGTATGCATGCTCGGATCATGCATCATGGAGAAAGGTAAACGAATAATTTCGACTAATTACGTGCGTAAATTGGGTTATTAAATATTGCAAAGTTCTCAAGCATTGATTCTCAATCGATTAGGCGGGTTATCCATCAGCCTTTACTATCGAAACCGATTTTAAAGATAGTAATCCATACATTCACACATCCAACGACGTCATCGAAAATCTTGATTTCAATCATATGCTCGAATTCGCCAAAGTATGCGTCAAATAATTATCGTTATATTGAATCATATGTGCTGAATTTATGCTAATCTTTTTATTATCTGATATTTTACTATTAATAGTTGTCTGTAAGTTTCGCCGTAGAATTGAGCTATTCGAATTAGACTGGATTTCGTAATAAATTATCACATTTATTCGTTTTTGAATTACGTACAGCGCACTTTGCTAAGTTAAATAAACCATTGCAATTTAACGGACACTATTCGAAATACAATGTTTCTTAGCACCTAATGCTTTGAATTTAACCTGTAACCACGTATCTCAGAATCGTCCCTTGTACGAATGTCTAACTGATTTTAGAAAATCTCTAACGCAAAATGACTACAGCTTTACAAAATAATTTTTGGTCTGATTTTACTAAAAAAAGCGTGAATTTGATTAATTGCGTCTCCTCGTCTTCGCTTCTTTAATATTTTATAGCCTACATCTAATAACAATTAAAACTGCTTTGTCAAGAACAATCGACATCATCTTGACTATTATGTCCAATGTGGATCTTTTTTTCACATAGAGATGTGATGATTTAGGGATCCGGTGAACCTAGGATTCGGTTCGGTATTTTTCTAACATTAGGATTTGAAAAAATGTATTCGATCGAATAAATAGGTCTTGAATTACCAAAAATAGCTTTCAGTATATTTTATATTGTCTTTTAAGATTAAACATTGAAAAAATTTATCATTCTCTTTCATGATGTTTATATAACTTTTTGGATAAAGAATGTTCTGTATAGTAAGTACCCCTCTCCTGTAAAAATCTCAACCTCAATTTAGTTTTTAAGAAATTCTATTGTGAATTTAAATTAATTTGTTTGCGAAACGAATAATTAGCTCTACTAAATAAAGACGGATTAAATTAGGATTTAAATTTTTTACAGGGGAGGGATACTTACAGACGCTTTACGGTAGGTACAATAGCAAGGGGAACTTTTGTTTCCGAGGCTATAAACACGCACATATTACATGAAATTTTTTGCTAGGGTTGGAGATTAAAGACTATGACATGAACTTTAAAAGTAAATTCAAACTTTATATATTATTCAGTAAATTTTGAAACCGAAAAAAATTTTACAATCACTATAGACGTATGTTTGATTTTCTCCCTCCTGAAGTCATCAAGAGAAATAAAAGTTTATGAATATACCCTCATCTTGTGCTAGTGCATAGCTTTCATCACATTTACCGCGACTCTTTTCTAATTATAATTATTGGTGGTTGAATTCATGTAACAAACCTACCACAAATGCACGGTCTTTTCACAGGTTGTATAAAGTTACAGTAATTAATGTAATAAATATTATTGTGATTTAATACGTAGGTAGCAACGGGTAGAATAGGCATGACATAGTACATTTAATAAAAATGTTTGTTTTACAGATGTGGAGTGAGAACCCAATTTTCCCTTTTTAATCAACATGTGCGTTTTATTATTGACAAACATTGCCATCTTTCGATTCATTAATTTATCATTTTCATCTTTGACTGGTAATGATTATCCTGAGTATGAGTATGAGTATGAGAATACACAAAAAACAATTATTTTTTCTGTGATTATTAGAATTTATTAAATGTTCAATTATTTCGATTGGAATGTAAATTCGGGAAATCCGATTTTGTGCATATATAACCGATTGCCATGTGAACTCTGTCATAACATAGGTTCGCTTCCCGTCATTCTATTTCTTTTATCGCAAGAATATTACTGAAAGTTATTAATTTAATATATGAACGTAAATTTACGTACATGACGAATCATCATCTTCATAATCATCACAATCATTGTACTATTTATGAGTATAGATCAAAATTTAAAAAAAACATAACGATAGCATCATCATCCCAAAGGTTCAATTAAAGTAAGGGAAAAAAAAAGGGTGACTAAAATATTTATTATTCAATCCGTCAAGTTATTTCTTTTTGGTAAGTAGAATCAAACTCATGACATGAGAGAAGTAACTGTGTGTGGTTGTATATAGATAAATGACCGGGATGAAAATAAAATGCCCTTGTGATACTTTTTTGGATTTGAACAATGTCTTTTGAGACTGGACAGAAATTTTTTCGCATTTTCGAATTTTTTCGCGTGGACATGAACCTATGGATGATTGAATGATGATTGAATGAACGATTTACGGAAAAGATAAATATTTGGGAAACGTGAAAAAAATCGAGAAGAGAAAATAATGAGAGAGATTAAACAGTTTACTTTTTTCTGTCGTCATTGTCGTCGTCGTGGTTATTTCTTGTTAAATTACAACTAAAAAAGATTTTATCTCCAATACTAGAAGTATTGATACTGACAAGGATAATAACAAAATACGGTGACGACAAAAACATTCATTTAAATTTACATTCCTTCAAATGTCCGATGAAAATGACGAAATTGATCGATTAGCTAATATGGTAGATGATTTATTAGAAAAACTCAGCAAATACAATGATTTTTTGATCCTTTCCAAACAACAACCACAAATCCCTAACATCCAAATCGAATATCGAGATTCAACATTCACCACGAGCGTGTTCTCACAACCACAAGAAGGATCACAAGTAGCATCATCATCACCACCACCACCGCCATCACAAGAATCCGGACTCACAGCCACATTCACTAGTAAACTTTTCACAACAATAAAACGAAGACTCGGGATATCAAAAACCCCCGATCCCCCACCAGAAGCATCTCATAAAGTCCAAATGAAACTATATCGACGATATTTGCGTCGTCGATATGTACATCATTTTGGCTCGTTCGAAGCATTCTTCGTCGCATACATTACAAAACTCGAACAAAAATACACGAAAAGTTTACCGAGATCCCGTACGAGACCTCTTCCCATTCCAGCCACCGTTGGGAGACCGCAGGCTGAAGTAATAGAATATTTCAACACTTATTCCTTTAACATCGTGAAGGTGGATGCATTTTATTGGAGTGTTGGCGTGTTAATGGACCATCTGTGTGTGCGGAAGGGAGGAAAGGGATTCATACAGGGAATCGAGAGAATGCAGTCGAGAGCAGTGGACTTTTTAAGGCAGTATGATAGAGTCATGCTGTTAGCTCCGCATGGAGTTGTTAGAGTTAACCTGTTACCATTAGAAAAAAGAGAAAGTTTGCAACGCAAACGAAAACGAAAAAAATGATAACTTTTTAATGAGATTATCATTGGACACTGATTTCCCCGGTGTTAGGAAAGTAATAGTTAATTTAGATTGCCTAAAAACTCTTTGGCAGAAATAAAGAACAATTACCTACTCACTTTTTGACTGTTTTATCTGATTAATATAATATTGACTAATTGTTTTTATTAGCACAGGAATAGAAAAATAATTCAGAAATTACTAGAACTGGATAGAAAAAATTACTAGACTGTACTGTAAATATAATATAGCGAGATACCGAGTTATCAAATAAAAATTATTACTACTTAATATTAAAAATTTCTATTGAAAAAATATTCTATTTCTATACGTCTATTTTAATGTTCATTTCTATAAAGTAGCGTTATCCTAAATACCGAAATATCGAGCAGAAAATAATTGTTCAATCGCTTTCACACCACCCATTTCAGCAATCTGCTTGATTTTTTCATCATCTACAACTTGTTCCCAGTTTTGTATAGCATATTTTAATCCTCCTTTTCGCAAAAAATGGTCATCGTGCTTCAGACCAAGCATAAACACCACATCCCAATTATCTGGTCCAGAATGTTCGACTAATAATCCAGCAGCCGCTTGGGCAAGTTTAGGTAACACACGCATCCTGGCTTCTGAATAAAGTTCTGCAAGATTGTCGATTGGAAACTCCGTGGGAATTTGTTTTGTGTATAAGTAGTATAGTAAAGCGTAGAATGTGTCGAAACTCACCCCGATGATTTGTATTTTTTTATTTTGAGTTTCCAACCATTCGCCGTCAAACATTTTGTCGAAATAAGTTGATCTAGCAGCCAATATAACTCGATGTGCATATATCATTGATCCATCATCAAAGGTAAATTGAACATCAGAGAATCTTTTTTCATTAAAGAGTTGCTCAAAGAATGAAAGATCCTTCTCATGAGTCTGCATAATTTTATTTGATATTTGATTCTTGTTGTTATTGCCGCTGCTTCCGCCAATATTTGTAGTATTATTGCTGAGAATTTCAATGCTGTTGTTGCTGCTGTTATTACCATTCATATTACTAGCATTGCTGTGGGGATTGTTATTGTTATTCCAAATTGATACTCGGATCACCAAATTGACATTAGTCGAGATGTCGCCATTGGGGAAAATATTTCTCGTCTCACAAAATTTATGATATCCCCATGACGAACTGTCAGTTCCAAAATCAAAAGTGGTCAACGTTTTCTTTGACGACGCTAATTCAACCAGTTTCTCCGCAACATTGGATGTTGGATCTCGTTCTAATCGATAAGCTTTAATTTGATAGGCGACAGTACGTGATTTTAGATTAGCCACTTTTTCGCTGATACTTTGAAATGCTTCGAGATAACCACCAACATGACCCCAATAAGTGTTGGTGCTTTGTGGTTTTAGACTTAAGCGCCACATGTGAGTGTGTATTCCATCTCCTGATGCACATGAAAATACATCGCTGAAAATATATTCGCCTAATGGCGTTTGATCATGTAACACTTGATAATGTGGAATAGTCCAAGAATATTGAAAAATTTGTTCCTCTTGATTTTCTTCTTCTTCGTCTTCTACTCTACTGTACTGTCTATTGACTGCATTATTTTGATGATTGTTAAATGTCTTGGAGAAAGTATTATGTGTATATTTGATGACTGTATTGTTGGTCGTGACAGTGTTACTGCTATTGCTATTACTGTTGCTATTATTGTTTTCTAATTCCCTTGTTTGTACTGATGGAATCATCTTTACGTAAATTATTTATTTATAAAGAAAGCCTATAAATCTGACTTGTGCAAGTTATAAGAGAAAGGGAAAGAAACGTTACCGTTACTAATTTAATAAACAGCAATATTAAGTGTGGTGCAAAATATAAAAACGCCATCAACAAGCAAAGTGATGATCATTACTCTTGATGGGAAAAGCAACGGGAATGAATGGGATGATTAACATGTGAGCCTAATATGGTGTGTTCTTATTATCGTTATTGAAAATCGTTATTGTTTCGACAATCATTTATCGTTGTTATTGTGAGTTAAATGCATTACAACCGATACCTATTCTCTGGATATATTTGCGAATCTCATATTTCTCTTTTGGCCGGTCTAACAAATATTTTCATTGAATATGTAGTATTATATTACAATTAAACTTTATGAATTATGATTGAAAATCTTTATTCTTTAAAAGCCAAGTTTTTAAAAGCTCATCTTAAATTAAAGCTTACAGATAACTTTGAGTTTTATGTAAAGGATTTTTTTTAAAATCTTTTACATTTGTTGTAGTATTGTTACAAAACTGGCATTATATTTGAATTTTGTATATTTTGAATTATATTTTGTTATATATTCATCATAAGTAATAATCATTTTATTCCATTTACGAAATTTATTAAAAAATCTCTTTCATTAATTAATATGAATATAAAAATATTATTCACAACATCAATTACAAATTAAATATAATTAGCATTTAATTTTTATTGATTCTCTTAATATATTATAAAAATATATATTAATTAATTAATTTTAAAAGATATATTATATTATTAAAATAAGATAAATACTAGTCTTTAATAGAAATATCTTATTTCAAATTAATTTATAAAAATAATAAATAATATAAATAAAAAAATTATTAAAAGTTAAATAATTAATAAATAATAGATTTTTAAATTAAATAACTAAATATATTACAAGAATTTAATAATTTAATTATAATTCAAAATTATATAATAGATAATAATATTAATAAATAATTTAGAATTAATCTAAAAGATAGGCTTAAAAATAATATTTTTTGATTTAAAATATATTTCTAATTAAGTAAATTAATAATAAAGTCATATTATTAAATAATTATTTAGTTTTTTAATCATATATGGATTAGTGCATAAAGATTTGTATCTCAATATAAAATTAATAATTATTTCTAATAAAAATCATTCAAATTTTAACTAATCTTTATAATTTTTTTATATTAAATGCATAATGATCATCTGTATATTTAATATGAAATTGATCTTTTTAAAATATAATACAAAGCTAATCTGTAATACAAATAGTGCAAAATAAAGATTTAAACTAAAAGAAAGATAACCTAATCAAAATTATTACATATTATTATTTTTCATATTAACTATATCTTATATTATACTTTACTATTTTAAAAATTAATATATTATATATTTTTAAATATAATTTAATATATAAAGATTATTATTTATAAAATTATTAGAAAATTTTTATTTTAAAATATAATTTTTTAATTAATTTTTAATAAAAAGTTATTAATTTAATATTAAATTAATTTTATATTATAATTATTAAATTATAATTTTTAATAATTGAAAATATCTTTTAAAATAAAAATTTATATAAATATTATATATTATTATATTAATTTAATCTTAAATTAATTTTATATTATAATTATATTTAAACTGAAAATATATTATAATTTTTATAATTGAAGATATATTTTAAAATAAAGTTTTATATAAATAATATATTTATTTATATTAATTTTTTAAAGAAAATTAATTATACAACTAATATAATAATATTAAAATAATATTTTTATATTTTTATTAATTTTATAAATTAAAAAAATTTTATATATTTTAGTAATAATATATAATAAATTATTAATAATAATAATTAAAAAAAATAAAAATTATATTAAAAAGATATAAACTGAATTAAATATTATAATATAATAAATCTTATAATTAGTTATATTATACTTTTTAAAATTAATAATATTACTTTTTATTTTATTTATTATAAATAATTATAAAAAATTATAAGTAATATAAATTTGATATTAATATTTAACTTTTTTATAATTAAACTTAATTATATTTTTTATCTAATATATAATTTATAATAATTTTTTATAGTTAAGATAATTCAAAAATTATATATATATATTCATTTTTATATGATTTGGTGCAAAAAGATTTAAATCACAAATAAAATATCAATAGATTATTTTTGAAAAATAAAATTTTAATTCTGTCTTATTTAATTAAGTTATTAGATATTGAAATTTATTTAAATATAAAAATTTTTATT